CACAAACAGGACTTTAATATCACCAACCATTCCCATGTTATTACGGTGTATCCATATAAATGGCCCACCCTGTAGAGCTATCTTCAGATACACACAGCTGATTTATTGTAGTGCGTAATTTGGCCTTGACTAGCTACTAAACTAATTACCTAATTTGTGAAATTTAGGTTGTTTTAATCTAATACTTTCAGCTAATTCACTGCAGCCTGAACCCAGGTTTGGGGGAAAAAATGTTTAAACAACATGAAGCTAATGATAGACCTCGGAACAAATCTCCACCGTACCGTTCCTTCAGCCAGCGCTGAGATGACGTTCCCCAGGGCCGACAGAGACTTGTTGATGTTCTTAGCCTCATCCAGCACCGCTCCCTCGGCGCCTGTCTTACTGACCTGACACACATACACCCGCAGACAGGAGGAATTAGTCCGTAAAGAACATTATCAGCAGGGAAATTATGTTTATTTTCCTGGTGGCACTGACACTGTGGTGTAATTTAGCAGTGAGAGGGTTCACTCAGTGCATTTTCAGTTAATTTGTTTCAGTGAATTGTTGCAATAATTGACATTTTGCATGGCAAAAATTTCAAATGGCAGCATGCAGCTCAACAAACTGTAGAAAAATCAAATTTGCAATAATAAAAAAAATCAAATATGAGTAAATGTGTTCAAATGTAACTGTTATTTTAAAGAAATACACAGAAATAATTATTAGAAATCTGTCTTGCAATAAAACTGCAATAAAAAGCACTTCCACAGCATCAGAATGAAGAATTTGTGCATGCACAGCTAATTGCTAACAGACAGGAACACTGACAAGCCCAGACGATTTCCACACTTTGAAAGGAAAGGCACACGTTATTCTGTCATAATCGCCATGGGATGCAATTATTTACGGCAAAATAATGAGGAGCTTAATTACAGAGGAGAGCAAGTCGTCCTATCAAAGCCTTCTGTGGACCATACGTCAGGCTCCTGTTCAGCCCAGTCAATAACGTTTTGTACCAAAGCCTAAAAAGCTGCTGGAGTAGAACCTTTTACTTATTGAGCCCCAGGGAGGACCAAGACAACTTACAGATGCACTATCAGCACTTATCAGCTACAAACCACAGACATCAACATCTATCCAGATTCTACTGCAATCTAACGCTCTAAGTTTTCTACCAATACTATCAACACAAGGAGCCAAGGGCCAGGTTTAGCGGTGCCTCTAATGTATTTTCTATTTGCTTTTCAAGCGTTTGAACTATGGCCCAGTGATAGATTGTTTTATAGATGGTGTGATGGGGCTGAGCTGACTCAGATTTCACCTAGAAGACCTTTAAAAGTGGAATGAATTTGTTGTTCTTTGGTTCCCATCAGTTTGATGTTTATCTTGTCTGAAAGCTCCATTTAGCACTTGTTATTTTTCAGAATAAACGGTAACCCTGATAATGCATCTGCGACAGACTGAAACAACCCTACAGTAAGGAATCAGCTCTCGGCCTCTGAATTTTTTTATAAAGTGGAATTTTTAAAAATCAGAGCAATCCAAAGCAATAAAGATTCAGGTTTAGTTGCTTTAATGCATTGTTTATCTGCTTCTTTGATGTCTGAAAACACCATTTCAAAGCCCCCAGTGTTTCAAACCTCTGTCAACAGCAAACGTCTGGAGTTTATATCCCTCCTTTTAATGTTTTTGAAAGAAAAATCCCCATTCTTCCTACCTTCTCACTGCCAGCTAGGTCAACCAGATATAACTTCCCACTCAGCTTCTGCTCAGTCTCCACGTTTTCTTGTTTGATGTTAATCAGGAAGATGCTGTGACTGCGGGAACTATGCTCATTCATGTCTAAAGAACAAACAAAAGTTCATTCAATTTAGTTCAAGTTCAAGTCTTCACTTCATACCTCGCCATGCATTTCTCCCCTTTGCACATTAATCTTGAAACTTTGAAGGGGGAAAAAAAGTCTGACATAAAGTGTCTGACGGAGTGAGTGTCACAACATCAGGAAGATCAACAGTGTGACTCACTGGTGACAGCAACGTGACGGTTGGCCTTCCCCTCATCTATCACATCCATCACCTCCTCGGGACTTGTGACAAAGCGCTCAGTGCAGCCCTTAGTGAAGCAGGAAATCAAATATACGTTCAGTAATATGCACAAATATTAGCTAAACATACAACAGATCATCATGAGCGTAGAACCAGAATTAATAATTGTGGTTTCTTTAACTTGGACTAAGACAGCTTAGATGAGAACATCGATAACACTCTCAATCATGTCAGGAAACAGTAGAAAGAGTCAGTGTTGTTCCTCTGTACCTACATAAAAATTCTATTTGTCTGTTTTTCCCTCTTTTTTTGAGGGTTTGCCATGTTGACAGCCTCCAGGTTTTGAGCGAGATCAACCAGAGCGCAGTCATTTCCACAAACACAGTAAAGTTAGGTGTGACGATGCATTATAGAGCCCTAGGTGTGCAGATAACTTTATTTTCTTATCATTTTATTAAGCCAGAACTGAGAAAACTAGCAAGCTACTGGCTGTCAGTCTCAGACATGTCAATCTTCTCACGCTGATCTATTCTTATACTCATAAACAACAAAAACAGCATCTTTATAATAGAGAAAAATGCAAACTGAATCGCGTCTGTAGGTGACTCACCTTCACATAAGGAACTCTGTGTTTGTCTTCGTGCACTGACAGATTCGTCTTTGTCACTGAGTTAGGAGAAAAAAATGGAAGATGTCATTTTTTTTTATTACCTAGAGGATTGAGCGTGTGTGTTCATGAGTGTAAATGTTTGCCCATGTGTGTGTTTGTGCAAATAAGCATCTGCATGGAAGTGTTCTTCCTTTCAGCACAACTATAATGAGACCTGACTATGTTCCCTTCATATTTGTGAGTCAGCCTCTATCCACTGTGTGCAGCGTGAAAAAATACTCGAGGGCCTGGCTATGAATATTTTCAAAAGAACTGAAGCCTTATTTTTTGTATAAAGTCAAAGTGAGAGGTTAAGCACGTGCCTCTGATAGTGTCAATGAACAAAATACCAATTTTTGGCAAGGGCACTTACTGGCCCAAATTCCTGCATTAGTCACTGCACATTTGAAAGTCTTATCATGTCGGTAATTAAATTTCACCAGATTGTGGAGGCCGTTTTCTCCCTTGAGACTGTTAGTGTGTGCTTGTGTGGTTTCATCCTACAGCCATTTCCCCCCATAGGTTGTTATTCTCCTGCCTCCATTCATCTGGCTTGTTGTTGACTCTTTTTGTTCAGAGCCTAAATGTTCCACAGGCACTGTGGACTCCCCTGCATACAGATGGAGGCTTTCACCACTGTCTCTGGCTCCATTAAAGATGTAATCACACCCCTCTATCCTGGCCTCTCCATCATTTTACACGGGTTGTATATGGGTGATAAGACTATGAGCCGAAATGCTGAGTTGACTCTGGGTGTATACAGAAAATAGAACAAAGCGAAGATATAAAGGAAGCCAGTGAGGTTGTTTACTTTTTCAATTTAACTTCACAGATCAGTTTAATTTTACGCTTTTTTAAATTAAAAGGCCATGAAAAGCGAGGAGGGGAGGGCGTGATAATAAATGTTCCTTTTCACAAGAGCGGAATAATTTAAAAAACATGCTTCTTTTCCTCGATAGCTTCACAGCTTATATTTATAAAAGTGTCAACTCAAACAGCACCAACGTGTGTTTGTGTGAGAATCCATCAGCGTCTTCGTGTTCTCCACAGAATCCAAGTTTTTAGTGTTTGCAGCATTAGTACTGCAAAGTCCATCTTATGTTGTAGCATTACCAGCTGGTTTTGAAACCTAAGACTGTAAGTGTAAACCTCAACATTTTTATGTAGTTAAAACATCAGGAGAAATCACGGGTACAACTCTCCTCACTCCCCAAGACATTTTTAATACGGTCCACTGTTCAGCTAACAGGATTTTAGCTGACCTCTGTTAGGAGATCTAGGGTCACTTTGTGCTATAAGCACTCAGTGGACCCTCACTCAGTTAAACTGAGTAATGAAAAACTCAAGTACTCTGAAAAAAAACCCCACAGAAAACACATCACAAACCGAAAGAAGTCCCGTTGCCTTCTTTTTTTAGCTTCTCAAAAATTTCCCCTATTAATTCACTCAAAAAAGATAATAAAAATGATAATACAGGCAGAAAAGTGACAGAATATTTTCTGTTTTTCTTTCTTTTTTTACTGTGTAGGACAGAGAGAAGTTGGGAGCCTTTGAGGTAACTCTTTTATTATTATTTTTCTACTGGTATTTATTATAATTACATCTGTATTTACTAAAAATGTGCCCATTAAGGGTTTTTGTTGTAATATTTTCTTTTTGTCTGTTTCTGTGATGCAGTAGTTGCCTGTCCCAGGATGATTTTCTTCTATGGGAGACAACAACGGAATAATATCTTAAACATAAATATAAAGTGATTAGCCATAAGATTAAAAACCCTGGCACAGATTATCTCCTTGATAATTTAGGACACCTTGGTTCCTGAGATTCACTTTATTATTGCTTTGATAAATACCACCCAAGTAATCGTTGTCTCACACCAATTTACCACCACCACATTGCCACAGCTTACAACAAGAACTGCTTAGAAATGGCTGGAGGAACATAATAAAGAGCCCATGGTATTGACCAGCTCCCAAGCTCCCCAAATCCCAATCCGATCAAGCAGCTGCAGGATGCATTGGAATAAGTCCCAACCACTGAGGTCGACCAGCCCAGAGGGCCTGAAAGTTCTTCTGCTTGTATCCCAGTGCCACACGCTGCAGGACACCCTCAGAGGTCACATATCCATCTCATTCAGAAAGAGGCAAGTAAATTTAATGCTGTGGCTCATCGCTATAGATGTGCCTGTCAGTTTGCATAGGGTTCAAACACTTTAAGTAATAAGGTCTTAAAATGTCAACGGTTAAACATGATTCATCTGTGTGTGAGCAGACAGCTTTTAAATCTGTGTTGTGACACAGAAAACTACGAAGCATTAACAAAATTGAACTGTATTTCAGTTATATACCGTCCAGCAGGTCCCGGATTTTATCCATGTAGATCTCAAAGTAGGAGACCTGCAGCAAAGACAAAAAACATTTGATAGCAAATATTTTATCAGGGACACAGAAAGAGAATTCAATGCAGATAAATGAGGAGGATGATAGGTGCTCACTGTGCAAATACAAAATGCTGCAATAATCTGCTGTGGCTCTGATGAGGTATTATCCTCTATTATAAGACCGTGATGTAAAAGGGAAAATGCTGTGGGATGATCATGGTTTATTTATCATGATTTATTGATGCTTGGCTGATTCCACTCAACCCATCCATGTGAGGATTACATCAGAGCTTCAAGTTGTATTTCTACTGAATATATTCCATCTAACAGCAAACGTAAAAAAAAAAAAAGAAAGAAAGAAGAAGAAGGTGGTAAAAATGCAAACTTGAACACACAAACGTCAGAATCCACACCAACCTTTATGTGGAATTCAAGATTCTCATCCATGGCAAATATATGTTCAAAAATGTCCTCAGCAATCCGCGGTATTATCCCCATTCCCTGGTGATCATGAAGGTTCCCCTAAAGGAGGATTGAAATGAGACAGAGACATGTAAGTGAAGAGCAGGATAAATGCAGACCCTGGGACGAATAAAGTCGATAGAACAGTAAAAGAAAGGAGAGCAGCGAGGCTTTTGACTTGAAAGCGAACAGGGTTGTTTCCCACAGAGAGTTGTAAAGAAGGTTAGTTTCCACATGAGGCTGAGAAAGAAAGATAGAGAATGATGGCCATGACGGAGGCAGACATAAAGTCAGGACAGGCAGAGGAGGAGACGGTGTTTAAAAAGGAGGAAAATGTGCGTGTATCTCTGTGCTCGCACGTGCCACATTGCGAGGGCTACCTTTTGAATTTTTTAGCAGCACTGTACCTCCATGGTGTGTGTCTTTCCTGAGGAAGTCTGCCCATAGGCAAAGATAGTCCCATTGTATCCTCCCAGTACATCTGAAGCGAGGAAGAAGAAACAAAAGCACGTTAGAGAAGAACGCAAGGGGGGAAAAGAAAATAGGTAAAGAGTGTGAAAATAAAGAATGGCAGGAGAGAACAGGTGCAAAAATATAAACAGATATAAATTTCTATCCTGAGTCACATATGTGGAAACCAAAAAATGATAGCAGCCTGTTATGCCTGGCTTACCCTTCAAATCCTCAGTGCCAAAGTAATCTACTGGTGGTTGGAAGTGTATACTGTTGTACACAAAGAAAGGGAGCTGTATTGTGAGGACCCTCTCCACCCCAGGTCCATTCACCCTGCCCGCTACCACGGTTTGTTCATTGTCAGCAACATCGGGAACACCTGGGCCCAGTGTGCCAGTGCCCTATAAAAGCCTTGGAGCTCAGCTTTTGTGCCCCTCCCCCCACCCCCTAAGTCACTCATCTGCGTTTTTGGGTCACCGCTTCTTATATTAAAAATTCTTAAAAGAGCACCTGCAAACAGCTGCATGGCCATTTGCAGATGAATGATCTATCTGAAAAGGTTCAATTAGGTTTCAGAATTCATCAACAGCAATAGTTACTAGTTACAATGTCACACTGTCGGAGGCACTTCCTACGACCGCTGACAGTGGACTCATCTCTGTGTCCTGTTAGACCTCAGTGCACTTGATACTGTTGAACATTTTAATACAGAGACTATAACAAACTGTTGATCTTAAAGAAAATAAAGTGCAGGGGTTTGAATCTCATCAATCGATTCTAATTTGTTCACGTAAATGAGGCCTTTTCTTCCCTTACAAGTTTATCATGGAGTTCCCTTAGGCAAAAAAACTGCATATATTTTCAGTGCCATGCAGATAATATCCATCTTTATTTATCTAATGAATCCAGATGACACAAACCAATTACATGTCTGAAAGACATAAAGGCCTAATTAATTCAGATTCTTAATTGGCGTCACTATGTGCATCACCTTTATGCTCACATGACCACAGTATTTTTACTTCGTTTTTCATGTGGACATTAGTGTCTGTGTGCCAGGCTTTACACTGCTCTAAACACTGTTTTAAACTGTTAGGTTTTCTATTCTCAGTTCTACATGATGTCAGAGAGGGAGACTCTGTAATATGGTCATCTCAGATACAAAGATCTGGCTGTCAGGAGTTGATATGAAGCGAGTCATCCTAAAAGGCTTTTTTCAGATGGTGGATGAACGGAGAGGAGTCACCAAGACCCTTTGTATAATAAAAAAGGATTATTTTTGAGCGATGAATTATGAAAAGCTACTCTAGTAGAGTCCAGAAATGAAAATATGAATGTGGAAAGAAACATGGTAGGTCCCCTTTAATAGTAAGATTATCACACTGAATTTGCTAAAATCTAAATAAACCTGCCAACTCTGTGTACCTCAAGGTGTCAGTCAAAGAGGTTGTGTGATTGCATACCAGTTAAACTAATTATACCCTTATCAACAGGCCCTCTTACCAATTATAAGAGGGCCTGTTGTTTCAGCCGTGAAAAAAGTCGGATTGATTTGAATTCAACCTTGAAGCAGAGTTGCCTAAAAGAGCCAGTTTGCCCTCCAGCATTCAGCAAGCAGAAACTCTGTAAGCTTTGGTGGCGCTTTGTGCTCTGGGCTTCTCACTGCTTCACCCACATTTGTTAAATCTGTGCACAAGGTTTCTACAGTGTGAGTAGCAGTGAATGAAAAAATTAAATGATAAAATTGTTTGTGAACGTGTTTTATCGCGACAGAAATTAAACGGCATACAAAAACAACCAGACAGGAAGTTCCCAGAGAAATACAAATATGTTTGACCTTTGCTCCAAAGGTAGATTGATCTGAGCCTCATAAGCCTGTTGGATCTGTGGGGTACGTGGTATTTAAGCTTGGTTAGGTGCCGGATGACCTCTGTGGCTACACACAATAAACAACAACTTCCTGCAGCATTAATGTCACCAGGAGGCAGTCAGCGAAGTACAGAGCAAATACAGATATATTTCCCTTTTTCTTAGTGGAAGCCATAGCAGAACGCCTCCACTCCAGCTGAGGTTATAAAGAAATACACCCTTGGATGTTATAGTGCTGACAGAGGCCAATAAACCTCTGCGATAAAAGTCAAACATGGATAAAGAAAAACATATCATCCCAGAAGTCCAGCAGCCACTGGTCAGCTGACCACAGACACATCACAAAGGCTCTCAGCTGTAACCATGCAGAACCCTCTTTCTCTCCTGTTTTCATGTGTTGCTGCCTCTTCTTGTTCATGTCTTCCTTTGTTTCCACGCTGACCATAGTGAGAACAACGCAGAAGTGTGGCACAAAAAAGAGCAAACACTAAAGAATGTGTTATTGAAAGGAAATGAAGGCAGCGGGACACTAGATTGCTAAACTACAGAGACCTTCACAAAGAGAAACACAGAAGAGAAGAGTCAGCACGAGTCTGAGACAAAGACACTGAAAAGGGCAAAGAACCCGACGGCACAAGTGTGAAGAAAAAAACAACGAAAAGGGCAAAAAAAGACACTGTAAGATGAGAAAACTGAGAAAGTGTAAATATGGATATGGTCTCCAAACCTCTTTGCTCTCACCAAGCTTGCCCCCTCTGTTACCTTTTCCCCCTGACGCATTTCAAATCTAACTTCTTATCGCATGCCTTCCTTTCGTTAACTGCCTGCCTTGAATTTTTTTCAACCTCGCAGTGAAAGCAATCCTGCCTTTTTATTTCTTTTTTTCTCAGCCTGCATGGTAATCTCACCTACAAGTAATCTTGCCTGCCAAATCAATCTTTTTCATGCCCCATCTAGAACTAGTTCAATGGAGTTCCACACTCACTTTGAAGGTGGGAGAAAAATGAGCCCCTAACAGGGAAAAAAGAGGCAGACAGACATAAAGAGATGCAGACAGAAGGAAGGGAAAGAGAAAAAGATTCAAAAGTTGAAGGTAATGGTTTTGTTTGATCTATATGCCCCTTGGATATGCTGGTCCTGCTGCGCCATGATAAGCATGCATGTCATTAATCAGTGCATTGTGATGCTCCTACATGCAGGCCGTGTGACTACATCATGTCATGGAAATAGTTTTTTCTTGCATCTTGTAAGGGAGGTGCTAATGGATGCACCAGTGAATTGTCAGTGTGAAGTGACACCACCAACATGGATATCACGATTATGGTAATTCAAGGTGCTCTGTCGTTTTTTCCCTCAGCTGTTGTGTCACTCATACGTCATGGAGACAAAAAACCCCACAGAACCATGTATGTGACTCACCTTTGACTATCTGCTTGGCACAGGTGCTGTAGACCTGCTCCTGTGTGCTGTTAGTTGGGAAGACTCGGTCAAATACATACGCCTTCCCCTGTGGAGGCCAACACAAACACAGTCAGCTATGACAAAGACCGTTTAGAGCGCGCTTTAGATCATACTCAGCACCTCGTCCTCCTCTGTGACGTGCTGTAAAATGCATCTTGGGAACTTTGCGAAGCAGAGCGCACGTGACGGAGACACATCATGTTTTTCACTAAAACATTTATGTAAACCCATATTGCCACTATAAAGCAGTGCCACATCAATATTTCCTATACGCAGAGTGAACATGGTTTATGGATGCTCTGTCCATCTGTGTGTAGGCTGAAATAGCAGGGTGTATATCACATTAAGAGGCCCATCTGTCTCTTTTTGATTAGTGCAATATGCATCCTGAGTATATTTGATGGAGGCAGTGGTTGTTTCGAATGAGTGCACCGCAGCGTAGAGTAGAGCTTTGAGCAAAAGGTTGTTTGACCCAGAGAGACAGAGAGACAGAAAGAGACCACGTCTGAGGTAAGGCTATTAGAGGCAGTGTTCAAGGACTTCAAGAGCAAAGTGATGGAGATGAGAGAAGAAATGGAGTGGAGGCGTAGAAAAGAGTGGCAGTGTAGAAAAAGTGAAAGACAGCAGATGACCTGAAATCAGCATTTGAGAAAAGGAGAATTTAAAAAAAAAATGCATAAAGACTGCAAGGAAGAAGAGCCTGTTTCTCTGACTGAACCATCAGTGGGGCTAAATAAGTCAACCTGGTGACCAGCCTGCGACTACCCATAGACGGGAAGACATGAGCTAATTCAACGCACATGTCTGGACTGAAAGTGAAGACATTCAGTGTTCAGCTAAATGGATTGATTCATCTTCCCAGTGCAGGACATTTAGTAACACACACCACTTGAAGTGGTCAATAAGATCGGGGTTTATTCTACTTTGAGCAAGCGCTGATGTAAATCCAGTGACTGGGAGCTGTCTTGCCTCCTTCAAAAAGCATGCCTGACTGCTAACAGACCCACTTGTGTTTCTGTGCGTGGTGCATATACTATATATGTATACAAGATTCACAGCAGCTGATTGCCTCGAGGACCTTCTCTACCACCCACAAATACGGCATACCTTCACTGTAAGGAGAAGACACGTACCAAGGATGTGGCAATAAAGCTGAAAAACACAAGCAGAAACTTGCAGGTTATTGTTTCGTTTGTTTGTTTCGATTGATCGTGTAAATTATTGCTTTTCTTTCCAACTCCTTAGATCACCATGACCTGGATGGCTGCAAACCTGCATATCATGTAAATGTGTTTTAGTGGTAGACGATCTATAAAGAATGTATGTCTGCCCTTTGCATAAATTGCATGTGACCTGTGAGGATGATCTAAACTATGATTATTGCTGTATCAGCAAAACCCCGGTGATCCATACTATCAGCAACTGTGAATAAAATGCAACAATAATTTCCCCAAAATTTTACAGATGGGCCCCATTGTTCCTGAAGGTTCTAAATGGGACAGCAAGATAAACTCGAAACCCCACAGCGCTCCAGTTTACAGTGGCTTGAGTAATAAGTTCTGTCAAAGATGCATGGCTCACTGACTCACAATTTATGGTTTTTCTTTTTGGGCTTTTGAGCACATTTATTATTTGGTTTTAAAGTTCCATTAAGATGAAATTTTATTTATTTGTCATATCTATTTATGTATTCTGCTTTGGCCGGTGGAAAGAAAAGAGAAAAAAATAAAGCAAAAAGGATAGGTCGACGAATTTATGTCATTTTTAATGATCGCTAAAGAATTAAAGGGAAGTGATGATGAATAATGAAATGTTAGATTAAACTGCACCACCACAGAAGAAAAAAATGCTTGAAGCTTGTTAACTTAATTAAGTAGTCTATAAGACATATAAGTTATGATATTTTGCTTACAATGAAATATCCTTTTGATTAAGGAAGCTGGAAAAAAGTGGATGTTTCTAAGGTAGCTGGAGCTAGTGTAGATGATGCTGTGTGGTTTTTACCTCTGCTCTGATTCTCTCCCACTTACTTTTTTAAAAAGACATTTAAAGACAGAATCTGAATCTTTGCCTTGACAAACAACTAGACAGTGCAGTAGTTTTGCATTTCAGTTTTATTTACACGGTTTAGCACAATCACCACCAGGCCTGTGCTCATGGGGTTTGGTCAGGCACAAAAAATAACATGGATTTGCATCCCTGTGGGTCCAGTGCCCATGGGGACAGGCAAAGGAAGGGGCATGGACCTGTGGACCCTCAGGATTGCAGACTCATTTTTGAGATGCGGAATGTCACCTCTTCAACGAGGACCTGAGCTAGCGCAGGATGGGACTAGATATCATTGTGTGCACCGGTGCACACAGTGATATCTAGCTTTTCTCCAGGATTCTTGAGAAAAGCAGGTCTCTCCTTTTCAAGACTGGCCCATGCTGGTGTGGGGACACTTACAAGCCCCCGGCTGTGCATCATCATTGTGGCGTTTTTCCATTTTCTTGGAAAGGAACTGCATAGTGATCTAAAGCAGAGTGTTGGTTCATTATTGGACTTCTATGCTAGGCATGGGCTGGCCTTTACAAACACCATGTTTGCATATAAGGTGGCTCTTACGTGTATTTGCTTAGGTCGAAAAACAGTGATTTACTTTTTTGTCTTGGACACTCAAATGAAGAAAGGAGTGGAGGTATTAACTGACCACCACCTAGTTGTGAGTTGGACCAGATGGTGAAGAGAAGGCTCACGGACAGCAAAGCCAAACAAAAAGTGAACATCTGGCAGAAGCCTGTGAACGAAAGGTCTTAAACTCCCATGTCCAGCATTATTTCTTTTGCATCCTGGGAGAGGCTGGGGACAAATGAGTCATGGCCAAGACCCACACTGCTTGCAGGAGCTGTGGTTATAAGGTCATCAGGATGTCTGGAATACTCTCCTTAGCCTTCTGCTGCTGCGGATGGGTGGCTGGATGGATGGATGGATGGATGGATGGATGGATGGGTTTATCACAATGAAAATGTGTAGGGTGTTTTTTTATACAACAGCTTGTGATCCTTTTCAGTGTTGCTATGGTGTGACATGCAGCTGGCACTGCGGCGTGCATTAAAATAATCCACTTCAAGAAAAAGAAAATTATAAATAAATCAAAAAATAAACACCATAAGCAAAAACCCTTAGGCCAATCTAGTATATTGACACAATTTATAGAGGTTATATAAAACTTATTATTTCAACCTGCCAAGAGATTGAACTCTGTTCAATCTATATATTTTTTTAAAGTTGTCGCACTAGAGGAGAAAAAAATACAATTTGTGCCACTCCCCAACAACGGTCAGTGAAAATCACGCTGAATTACTGCAGAGTAACAATAACAGAGTGTTTCAGCAATGACCTCCCACTTTACACTTTTATCTTTGCATAACATATTTTATTAGTGACAGACTGCAGGAACACTTTGGCAAAATCCAAGCTTCAATTTTATTATTTCTATTCTACTTCTCAATAAGCTGAGTTGTTGTGCTGTAATCACAGCTGCAGGTACAAACAAGCTCCACGTCAGAACTGATTAACCCCGACTCTCTTCCGAATGAGCCATTTATAATATACTACACACATGCTAAATACTATGGAGGGAGGCACAGGGGAAGGGAGAGGAGTCATGATGTGGTCTTCATCGGGATGAATAAAATGAATCTGTTATGTAAGCTGGGTAAAAAACAGCCCTTTGCCCATCATTTGTTATGCTGTCTCCACTAAAACACTAATCTGCTCCTGTGCTGCATGAATGTGATAATAGCACCGGCATACAAGACATTCTGTAAGCTTTCTATCTACACGTCCATCTTTCTGTCAGGCCTGTTGGTCCAGTTAGGTATTGTTACATCTGCTTGTTTGCCTCAGTGCAGAGTCTAACATATGTCTTTTCAATTTCGTGAGTGGACGCTGTTAAAAATGCAAGCGTGGGAAGAAAAGTGTGTGCATATGTGAGTGTGTGTGTTTGTGTGCATGTGTGCAAATAATATATCCAATTAAATTTGTACATGCAGACATTGTCTATGGCCCTCAGCTCTGTGTGCCATGCTAAACACCCACATGGCCTATCCAGCCTGCAATCTGCTGCTGTCTGCCAGGAAACAAAGAGGCAGTGGGCTGCGAGAGTGAGAGAGGAACACCAAGACGCAGACAAAGAGAGAGTTACAGAAAGGTTCAAAAACCGCAATAAAAAACAGAAACTGTGAGACTTTTCCCCAGCGGGCAAAGAATGGACAATTAATTACAAGACCGAGCTGTGCAAGGAGACAATAATCAGAGAGCAGAAAATAAAGTAGTAAAATCAAGCTATATAATCAGCAAAAAACACAGAGAGAGAAATACAATCAAAATGGAAAACGACAAACCCAGGAGGTGCAGAACAGACAACAAGAACAAGAGGAAATGAAAGAATATACATTAAAAAGACAAAGAAATGAGAAATACAGGGCTGCAGCAGTCAGTGACAAATTTAGATTATTATGTGAGGAGGGCAGAGTTTAGGACCCTGTAGAGCAACCTGAGGGCTTGGCAGGGATCACACAATCATATTTATGTAAAAAAAAGAAAGAAACATACATAGCAACCGTGTTGCCATCAACCATCAGTTTATGGACTGTTTTGAGCGTTTAAAGCCATCTTGTTTTCTAAAACCAGATATGACAAGTGAGCTGATGCATCTGACTAAGGAACCGAGGGCGCCACTCGCTCACACAAAAGCAACCTGCCAGTCAAAAATTAGCCAAACTCTGCTTTAGTGCTTATTTTAGCATAATTTAGACCACAATTTATAAAATCAAAATTGTGCTGTGTTGGAAAAAGGCTTAAAACTATTGGCAGTGACAATACATGCATCTCACTAGGTAAATGCATGTACAAATAATAAATTAGAGTCAGCTTCTGCTAGATTTCTGCACAATCTAATTTCTTTTTGCAACATGAGAAGTAGCAGCGTACTGGTCAGAAAGGCACTTCCACACTGGCCTCACATTTCAGACCAAGAATCCATATCCGTGATTCAATTTGAATTCATTCAAATATATTCAAGTATATATGGGTGGCTGTAGCTCAGGTGGTAGAGCAGGTCATCTACTGATCGGAAGGTTGGTGGTTCGATTCCCGGCTTCCCCTAGTCTGCATGCCAAATATCCTTGGGCAAGATACCAACCCGAAATTGCTCTCCGATGCAGTCATCGGAGTATGAATGTGTGTGAATGTCAGTTGTGTAAAGCGCTTTGAGTGCTCGGAAAAGCGCTATATAAGAACCAGTCCATTTACCATATATCATACATGGTTTTTGATTCTCATGCATATGTCAGTCTCTTTTCCTAACTCCTTGTGCAAACAACAAGATGAAGAACAATATGTTCCAGCCAAAAGAAAAACGTGGAATTTCCATGTAAATGAGCATCCCCCTAAAGCAGCTTTAAATGGCAACCTGAAACTGGCTCCCGATGCTGATAAACCAATAGAACTGTCAAACCCTTCTTCTACAGCAGATGTTTTCACAGATAAATCCGTACTATACCATAACCAGAGCCATCTGGCAGATGCACAAAATTATGAAGCAGCAAGTAAAGAAAGCAGAAAACCAACACTGAGGATGTTCATTCAACTTTATATTTTCTTTATAAATTTTATATCAGATAAACAAATCACAGATATGACTCAGACTCTATTCGCTAAACAGCTGAACACTCTGGCTTTGTAAAACGTGCTTCAAACTATTTCAATTAAATCATTTTACAGTTTCCAGATCATAAAGCTGAATGAACAAAAATGGTGATGTAATCATTTTTCCAGGATTTGAAAAGGAAAAGCGGAGTCAAAGATGCTTTTTACACATGTTTAACTTTTTGGCCCACGTATTTGTCTACAAAACTACGACACTGAATTGTATCATAGTCAAGCAAACCTAACTGAAAGGGAATCTATTCATGCACGGTCCTACGTATATCCACATAAAACCTGCAGAGGGTCTAAAGACAAGGGAGTGGTGGCAAAATTACCAAGTTAACCTTGAAACTTCTAATATGTTTGAAGTTGTGTTTAAAGTTTTTATTTCTCAACTTCCAAGCAGACAATAAAGAGCTGATCTGGCAGCACTTGGAGGACGCGCACAATATTAGATAGGTGGTTTAAATTTTGCAGCTATTCAATTACTGACAACAGACAGTAGTAATGCACCAAATCCCTTTGCCACATGTTAAAAAGGCTAAAAACGACAGAGTTGAAAAGATAACCGCCCACAGCTAATACTTTGATTACAGTAAACTCTGCAGGGCTTCGTTTTAAGGAGAAATCACAGCCGAGGTTACAGCAACTCAGTCACGGCTACAAAACCAACAATAGCAGCTGCTATGAGAAAGTCTGCACAGAGTGCTTCACCGTGAGAAAGTAACACGCTTCACTGCATCGTGCCTAACATCCACTTCTTCCCTGAGAGGTTTTTCAGCTCCGTAATTACCCAACGCTACATCCACCTTTGCTCCTGGCAGACAACACGCATTACTTGCTTGGTCACACAAGGTCATTTGATGGGAAACTGCTTTATGGAGGTCTGTCACTTGACCTTTATGTTTCTGGTGAGGAGCATTTCAAAGAAACAGCAACCTTTCTGCAAGAAAAGGCTAATTCTGGAAATAACACCTTCTGCTTGTGCTGAATATTTAGTGACTGCCAACATTTGCAATGAGGGAATAATGTTTTCCAACACAGGGTGCATTTCCCTTCCACTAACCAGGAGAGACATTAGTAAAAAATTGACAGAAAGAGCTGGAGGAGATGATGGAAAAATTGGGCCGTGTATGTGTTTCTCCTTCTCCAACACATTGAGATCATTTTTTGGCTCGTTTGTAGATGTTTGGTCTTCCTGTGTAGGCTTGACTGGGGGCAGAGAGGAGGCAGAGGCAAAGGAAGTCCTATTTCCACTAATCAAAGTGAGAGTTTATCTTGGTCTCTGTCAGTCTTTGCATCAGTCTTACCCACAAATTCATCAACCCTCCTCTCTCTCCCCACAGAAATGCGAAAACAGGCACAGTGAGAATGACAGCAGAGAGTAGCAGCTCAAGCTGCCAATGTCTGCACCATTCTTCAGGCTAATCAGGCTTCAAGCCCCAGATAACAGCATCATTAGCGTTTTTCTCGACAACAGAAAACCCCTCACAACTGCAAAAGCTCCAGTCACACAATATTATCTATCACTGCTGTTTTCCCTAATTCACTGGGCTGACAACTCGCAGAGTCGACTGGCATAGTGCCTCGAGGGCAAAGTGGCTGTGAGGTTCACATGTACAGTAGTGAAGTCTGGATGCAGAGATGCAGTGGTGGCGTTGTATTCTTCTTCTTCTTTTTTTTGTTTTTTCAGCTATCTTGTACTCATCAGAGCCATTTTTGTAGCAATTTCACTTAATCGCTAGCTCGGGGAACTGAGGTTTACCACCCAACATTACTTTGTTAACACACTTCTAATCAGTTATTTTCCTACATCAAGTTGCTTATAAAAGATCCACGGATAGAAGTGGAGCAATTATTCCTGAATCAAAGTGAGATACTCTGCATAATTTATCAAGACGAATGAAGGAAACGGGAGGCAGAGGAGTGGAGATGGGAAGGAAAGACTGGGCTTTGTTCGCCGGGACTCAGACCAGAAAACGGGAGCAGCAGCTTCCCAGTGGACAAAAAGCGAAGTTAGAAATTGAAAGACTTGGAGTGACTTCAAAATGAGGAAAGGGAGACAGACTAATTGATTGTTATAATGCAAGCCATGACGGATGAACTTCAACAACAGCCAGAAAAGAAATGAGCAGAAATGATAGATTGATAAATGCAATAAAATGCCAAAAGCAAATATTTCATTCTGTTCTTCATATTCCGGGAAAGTCACACACTTGAAACACTCACCACAGCCGAGCCTTCTTTTGCTTGGTACACACTTGATTGTAGAGATAACACACACATAACAGATGCATCCACCCTCCAGGTCTGAATAGTCAAGTCAAAGTGAAAGCACATTAAAAAGTGCTTTAAATGACCAGCAGGAGGCAGCACCAGTGGTTATAAGTCTTTTATGAGTCTGTGGAAAAAGTACCCTACTTCTTACGTGATTTATAACCTTACTAAACATTCCTCCTAATGCGCTTATGGACTTACTATATCATAATCTTTGATATGACTTGCAGTTTATGTTGAAAGCTAATTTATTCCAAATTTTAACAAGTGAGTGAAAGTGGGAATAGCATTTACCTAAACAGTAATTCCTCACATGGCCTGGAAGGAAGCAGGGACTCTGATTTCTAACACGTGGGGCAGATTTTCCAAGAAACGCCTCATATTTCTAACCCTGATTTAGCTGGTTTTAGCTTCACATCACTTGATGACATAGATTAACTCAAATATTTGTTCATGCTCTCAAGCTAGTTGGCCGCCTAATAATTCAGTCTATGCAGCAGCGTGGCTGGTTCATTGCACCCGGCCTGAACATGATGTGTCACAACCATATTAGAGTTTCTAATGCCCCATGTACTGTGTGAGAAGGTACTACACACAATATTCCCGGTTTATTGGTGTAAATAGGATCTACAAATAGGAAATTATATGACCGAGCTTTGAGAAACACTTCAAATGTCTTTTTCATAATGTGCTTATTTGTGCCTTGTCTGTGGTGTTCATGGCTAATCTAAGCTAAGATTAATATAGAACATCATAAGGACATTAGCATGGCATTTATCTTGTCATCTCACCCTTTGCAAGAAGGCAAAGAAGCATGTTTCACCAAATATCAGGTTATTACGCTTAAAGTGAAAAGGGTAAATTATCATTAGCAGTTCTACTGATGAAGAGCATGCAATAAAACAACAAAAGCCTCTAGAAAACAATTTTGTCAATTAAATGTTGACAAAGTTCTTGAATCCCTTTTTGTGTTGTTTAGAAAACACAAACGTCCCACCTGATAACACTTAATTATGTTGTTTCATGAGAGGCTTTATTTGTTTTTGCTGTGCATCATGTTGCCTTTATGATTCCAGAAACTTCAAATAATTCAACCGTATTCTCTTTATTGAGCATAAAAAAAGCTCAAGCACACACTGAGGAGAGCCCTCAGCATTCTGTAAGTGCAAAGCACACAGAAAATTAAATTTTGTTCAGATACTGCAAACAGTGCAGAGAGACAAAGGAGAAAAGGTTTCAGAAGGAGAGGGGGTAAGGAGCAAGGAGAAGAAAGGAAACACTTGGCAGAGATGACAAAGATGCCTCATGGTCTATGTGACACTGACTGCTCCAGCGCTTGCCTGCAATGTCACATTTGATTGGCCCCCCTGCCATCACACATTTTCCATTTATTGATGTTGTAGAATTATAAAAATCCTAGAAAACAGAAATGAGCCTTGAGGAAGAACTGAGTTGTCTAACACGAAGCGAGATCAGCCGCGTCAGCCTGAAGCAAAGATTTTCAGTCACAGCCCGAGACAGTGTGAGCGCCCAGCTAATAGCTGTCCTCCCTCTCAAAGGGAATATTTGATGTCAAAAGGCATATCTAAGGTCTTGCGGCCTCACACTTGTTATCTCCTTTTCAGCCAGCAGTCTCTTCCTTTCAGCTCTACCTGCGTACAAGTTAATGCAATCAAAATTAATTCACACAGGATACAGGATTACTCGTGACAGCAGCTTTGTCTCTGTCTACAGCACTTCAGCACACTGGGGAAAAAGCCAAACACATTTAGCATTTAATGCTGAAGAAATGTGTGTGTTTTTCTTTTCAGGCAGCAACTTTACCTTAAAAGGCCCTGTGCCAAAGTGCCAATATAACTTAAAATGTGTAAAGTAATTCACGCAGCAACCTTCTAGCACTACGGGAGCAGACAGCGCATCAGTTTATCACGTTTTTTAAAAGGAATATATGAAACGTTTTGAAAGGTGAAAAATATGTCACCCAAAAAGTGGTTTATAGAAAGCAATCTTTTCAACTGAGCCATTGGTCCTTCTCTACGACTAATTCAATTAGTACACAAACCTTCGAGCCAACTTTACTGGTTGATTTTAGCCAATGTAATGCTCCAATGTAACGATAACGCAACCAGCTTACAACTCTAGGCCAAATTAAAATAGAGACTTTGTGTGGTCCAGGGCCACAGTCTAGATTAAATGTGAGCCTCGACACTGTGACTGATCCTCCATACAGCACGTTTCAAAGGAAGACACTCACAGTACCCCACCAACCAGCCACAGCTCTGCACCACACCACTGGTATAAGGCCCATTAATGTGGCCGAGAACGAATAAAAAATTAGACCATGAAGAAGATTCAGAAACGTAGCACACATTTCAATCAGCTTCTGCTGCAAGCAATTAGACTGAATCAAACTAGGACTGAGCAATGATTTAAATTTCCTGTAAAAACAACATGGTTATGCTGATTTTCACTGTAATTCTGCCACAACTAATGACAGCAACATGCAGCGAGGTAATTTGGATAATAAAGGCCTCCAGGAAGAAAAAAAGCGACTTTATTAAGATTTTGCATAAAATGGAATTAATGAGAAACTCCAGGAGACAAAAGAGGTAAGGTAAAAGAGCAAACCAAAATAAATAAAAAAGTTTGATATGATTATCGACGTACCTGCTGGAAGCCAAAACAAAAATCGCGTCGTGCTGCTTTAGCCTGGAGAGAAATGCTTTTTAAAGTCTGAGCTGGGGCCAATCCTTGGCCATTCAAAGATTAAAATAAGCCTGATATTTATGTTTGCCAAGATTTTCCAAGTCTCTTTTATGTGATGTAGTTTAAATTAAGTACTAAAATCGGGATAAATTAGATTATCCACAGAAAAGGAAAATGTGCTTTAAAGCATGGCTCTCCTGGGAAATAATAAAAAAAATGCTGGAGTACATGTCAGCATTCTTAAATGTCAGTTCGATTAACTGTGCTGTGTTTAACCAAAGGAAACAAAGTGTTGGGCATTGGATGGCTGGGATATTCCTTTTCTCTCCTTGGGATTTCCTTGCTTTCCTATTCCCAAGACAACAAAACACCAGGGGTGCTAGCATGTCCCGACACGTGCACGAGCATGTGCAGCTGGTTTACGAGGTACTGCTCGCATACACTGAGGGCAGACACGCGGCCTGGGCAGCATCCTGGGCATGGCCGTGGCTAATGAGAAGAGGACGCTCCATTAACACTCCCCAGAGCTAAAAGCTTGGTAGTCACAACCCACTTGTGTCACAAAGGCAGAGGAATCATGAGGAAAGTGTTGACGAACTGGAAGAGCTTATCTAACCCTGACACACATGCACACTGAGTAAAAATAAAGACGAGCTGAAGGAACTGGAGTTAATATCCTGTTCAGTGTGGCTGCTGACTGAATTGATGTCAGTGTGATGTTAGTATTAAGGCGTGCTGAGAGTCTTTATTGGTATGGGGTAGATAGTTTTGATCCTTGACATTATAAAATTGCACAAGTTAGCTTTAATACAGTGATGATTTAAATACTGATTTCTTTATTGAGGAAAGCAAAATAGATCTTAATGAGCCCTTTTATCATTTTGTACCTCCTCACATTTCTAGGAGGGATAAAGGGACGTAAACTCCGCCAAAGTCAACAGATCCCTTAATATTTTGGCTCCTGACTGACGGGAGCTTCCCCTCTTGACGCTATTAAAACCTGCTAGAAGCCTCTGCCAAAATGAATGAGATGACAGATGAGCTGAGCTTTTTTTCTCTCTTCTTTAAACTGCTGCTGAGTCATGAGGAAATGAGCAGCGGAATCATTACACCATGAAATCCAGCCAGACAGAGAAAAATACTGTGAAGCATTTATTGTGAAAGAGAATGACAGAAAGAACGAGAGCGGGAAGAAGCAGACGAGGTCTAATCCCAAGAGGTGGCTGCTTTCGCGCCGATATCCAACATGGAGAAAAGAGTCCAGATCTTGACCCCGCACAGCGGTCCCATCACACTGCTAATTGGAAAGGGTGTGAGCTCTGCGCTGATAGAATTAGAGTGCCAAAGTGTGCGAGCGAAGGAAGAGCACACCTTAGATCACCACTTGTGATTCTGCTTGGTTTCCAGACAGTTAACGGTAATGCGAAAAAATATCCTTGAGAAGAAATGGTTCTGCTGGAGCTATAAATAACAGGTACAAGACAGGTAGATGACTTTACACGGCGCCCGACATGCTCTGTCAACAGTTTGTTTCAACAGCAGCTGTTTCCCCTGCATCTTTTCTACCTTGGCGCCTAATGAAGAAAAGGACAGGAGAAGGCGGGAGGATCGGCTCGCAGATGAGATTAAAGAAAAAGAGCCCATCAGAAATCAGGATCACAGCCATCCCACCAACTAAGAAGCTGCTGGTTAATAATCAGCTAGTTTTTAACCATGTTACATCTATTCTCTGCAGCAGCACACCATTTGACCTTAATTTATTAGTAGCAGAAAAAGTAAAAGCTACCTCATGTGCCCACATGACATCTGAGAGCTGAAGTGCAGGGTACGTGCTCTCTGTGAGCTCTCTAAGACTGTTATAAGACCTCTAATCCGCTATTCTTCCCAAAAATGTAAACAAGGTGTTGCTCACTGTTATAAATACAGCAGCCACTGCAATTTCTATAGAAGTCTTGTAAAACACTTAAGGGAACAGCAGCCATGGAAGAATAATCCATGGGATATATAAATGCTGTGCAAAAAATAGAAAATCAATAGTTGTTTAGTCCACACATATTACTTGGTTTTACTACCACGGGGGCAGAGAGCCACATTGCTTTTCATTCATCTGTTACGGTCAACAAAAAAAGCAAAGGTCACTCTGCTCCATGTAATGATGACATGGAGGTCAGCGTGGTGCTACGAAACTTGATATAATGAGTGTTTGAAACTCCGCATATACAGAGAAACGTTTCTTGTTATTTGCGGTACTTTGGTCCAATCTAAATCAGAGTGGACCTGCACTGCGAGGCCGGCTCATTAAAATGTAACTCTAATGTTGAAAAGCAACGGACCGTGATAAAACAGGCCCACAGGTATGGAAACACAATGACCTCTAGTTTGTGAGACACTGAAGGGTAGATCCATGGTGGAGGCTTTTCCTCTGGCTTCGTTGTAATACTTAGAAATGGGAAAGGACCTAATAATCTTTGTTGATACGTTCTTTCATCCTCTCTTACCCCCTCAAGTTAAACTCAGCGTTCGGCTAAAAATAATCACAAGGAAAGCAAACAAAATGGAAAATATTTTCGTTTCTGGACAAAGGGAATGAAAGTGATAGTGCTTATCCCGCAGACTCTAGAAGATGAACACAGCCGCTGGGTATAAAAAAGTGAAGCCAAAGCAGAAGCTCCTTGAGATCCAATTCAACTGAGTATCACTGGGTGCTGGCTCCACAAAAAATAAATGTGAAAAAATCTGTCTGCAACAGATGCCCATCCAAAAAATGATCTACTCTGGTGAATTCTTGGATAGTGGTGATTTTAAAACAATTTCATCGCTAAAAAGAACTAAAAGGGCAACATAAAAACCCCAAGATGCTCTCCAATGCATCCATCCATCCATGTGTGTACATGTTATGCAGAATGCACTTACAAAGCATAGAAGAGAGTGCTTGTGTTGTATAAAGCACTAGAGTAGAAAAGCGCTATATAAGAATCAGTTGATTTACCGTTCTCCAGTCACTCTACCCTCTCCAAATATATTCACTTATATCTCCAAAAACCAAGATGGTGATGGCCCCCACTGGGAACACTGTCCTGTGTTGGTAACAATGTAATAGGGTTGCAGAAAAGCTGGTGCCAACCCCTGGACAGATCAGAGAGATAGAGACAGGCAGCAGTTTACACTCTTACACAATCTAATACTTATTTGTCTTTCCTACACAGGTTTGCTCTTAAAGTTAACTCCATTCTGGGAGAGTGAATCTTGAGCTGCTGAGAATCTTTAAAGCAATGGTTGGGACTTCCAGTCAATCAATCAATCATTTAATTAAACAGATTATTGTGGATTTGAAAATCTTTCTTGGTTTTCATATGTACCTATTATTTTCAGTGATATCAACTTTAATCGCATTTTTCAAGTTACCTATATGTGACTACAGCATAATAAAACTGGAAATTGTGTTTTTGGTTTGCCAAACCATATTTTTAATGCCCCCCTTGGCTCATGCGCTAATCACATGAGCCAAGGCGTGAAAAAGGGTGTGGGTCGTTATCAGCAGAGGTTTCAGGTGAAACTATTGTGAGACCCAATCATGTGACTTACTGAGATCACTTTCATAACCTATAAATGATCTTAAAGCTTCACCGTTACATTACAATAACAATAATTACAGTAATAATTACAGTAATTTGACAAATGTGGCATGCTTATAATAGTTCTAACATTTTTCATAAGCATCTTAATTCAGAACTTCTTATCACACGCTCCTCCTGCTATGAATATGATACAATTTTAGTATGCCTGTTACTACTGGACAGCAAGAAAGAAAAAATTCCATGTCTTTTCGCCCCCGAGGCTGCAACCATCATTTATTTATTCATAGACCCGAAAGCGTGATTCACCGTCACAGTTTTTTTTGACTAACAGAAGATTAGGAGGGACAATCTGGCCTTTCTGATGCTGCATTATTGCAGGCACTGAAATACTCGAGACAGCTGTGTCACTCCACTGTGGAGCAAACACAAAGGCCATTCGTTGGGGTAGTACAGCCAGAGTGATTATTACTGTCACCCAGCCACAGAGTGGTGCGTAGCTCCACAGGTGGCTGCAAATCTGACGGTGAAAAAAAAGACATTAATAAAAGACTATGAATAATAAACACATTCATTTTGGGGTCACACAGAGAAGATAATGTGCCATACTGCCGTTGTTATCAAAATTAGCCTGATGATGATAATGTCTGAAAGTGCTTTGAGGAACTGATAAGAAGGCTGACTGGAGTTTTGATGTATGATCTGTGATAAATGATCGCATTGTTCTTCTGCTAGTTTTAGGTTTTATTTAGCCACTTTGCTCTGCACTCTTTCAGCTTTTAAACTCTCTCTGCCTGTGTTAGTGAGACAAACAACACAATCAAAGAAACACACTGCACTCCTGTTCTGCTGCTGCACCACACTTCAGATAAATTACACCGATTCCTCGCTTCTGATGTTAAACGGATGGGCCTATATCTTCTATAACAGCAGGGAAGCCATCAAACACAAGGTTCAATTAAAGCCCCGAGTTCTCAAGGTGAAAGGCATCTTGCCCAACACCTAGCTGCACGCAGACACAATTAGCATAGAATTATTATTACTGTCACACAGCCAGTGGTTTCAACAACTTTAACAGCAGAAGCCAAACATCATTTATGAAAGATAAGCTGATGTTTGATGAGAAACAAAAACACTTTTTTCTTGCTTGAAGTGAACAGTTCATAAGCTACAGAGTCCTGCTTCGGTTCAAATGAATCGATGAAAACTTCTTTTTTCATTTCTTACTGCTTCATCAGTATGCACTGTGCACACTGATGTGAACGTGTCAAAGTTCTCATCATTAAAACCGATATCAAATTTGATCCTTGAGTCTTTCGTTGTTTGTTCTTTTGCACAGAAGTTTTTTCTGCACTTCATCAACACAAACCGTTTGAAAGTGCCAGAGATGTTCCCTACTATATCAATTCACAGTGTACCGACAGGCCATCTCCTTCAATTTTTAATCTCTCCGGGTCCCCCCTTGTCTGCCATCCAGGTGCAGTCAAACCATCACTCTACAGCCTATATCATTGCCTCTGTCAGTTAACAAGTTGTGGGAAGGAGTCATCCTCGAACAGACAAATGAAGGGCCATCACCACTGCCCAGATGCGAATTGTTTTTATCAGCCGACAAAATGTGGGTGCTTAGCTGTCACTACAGGGTTCTCGCAGCAGGTCTGCTTTCCTGTCGTCCTGATATTTTAAATCCTGATGCAATCTGACGGCCGGGGCATTTCAACTCACAGGAGACATGTACTTTTTTTAACAGCTTCTTCTGAGATACTAGAGGGACAGCGCACACACTGAAAGCATTTATGCACCAAAAGCCACTTACATTCATGCATTACATTCACAAAGATGAAAACTTCACACATGGTGTACTGACTGCAATTGAGGGGCGGTTGGTGCATGAAATGAGAGGAAATATAGGCAGAAAACTGCACTGTTCTGCCACAAATACTGGAACAACAGCAGGCTCTCACCATAGTGACGGAGTACAGTTCAACTTAAGTGGGCAACATGATGTTACCTCATTTCCTCAAACCTTTTTTTCCAACCTTTGCCATCTATATGCTAATAAGAAGCATGCGTTGCTTCTTTTCAATATTAAGTAGCCTAAATGGAGCTAAAGTACTGCCCTTTCATTTCAAAAGACATACAGTCAATTAACACATTTTGTGAATTTTAAAACCAAAACA